CCCCCCCTTAACTGCCTCTTCTTAAGAGAACATAAATTAATTCATAGTTGAGCTCCTCTTTACCCATCTTTTCTCTTAGTTGATCTTCTTTGGACTCTCCCTAGTTCGCAGTGGCGGAACTATCAGCATAGCGACCCAGGCGGCCGCTATGGGGCCTGGGGCACAGGGGGGCCCGGCCAGGATGAGGAACAAAGGGGTGCCCCTGATGCCGTGCGGGCCGTCTGGGTTGCTATGGCATCGCAGGTTGTTTGCTGTTACTGGCGGCTGTGAGGAGGAACACCCCGCTGTCCAGATCACTGACAACCTGTCTGTGGTCTGTGCACGGGGGCTCTGTGACAGAGGATCAGAGGAAGATCAGCACACGATCTCCCTCCAAGCTCCTCTCCGGTGTCAGAATGCAGGAAGTGTATATCATTACTATAGGACTCTCCGGCTTCAGAAGCTGGAGAGAAGCTGATGAGGCAGTTCTCTGCTTCATCAGCTTCTTTGGGTCTTGAAGACCCCTGATGTCTCCATAAAGAGAACCTGTCACATCCTCTTTGCTATCAAATAGGGGACTTCTTAGCCCCTTTTGTGATAACGGTAAAGTTAACTGAAAAAAAGTTGAAGTTGCAAAAAAAAAAAAAATTTTAAAAAACAAATTTTTTTTTTAAAGTCCCCACCCCTACATTCATACATACATACACAAACATGCGTTGGGTGCGGATGCGTGCGACAACGACGTTTGCGACCATTACGCCGCACATGTTGCATATTGTAGCGATTGTCGGAGTGAGAGAAATAATTTTAGGGCCATTATTCGCTGATCACACTAAACTGAGCTGTAAAAGCTTTTAAAGCGTCGCCTATGGTCAATTTTGGGTATGGTAGGTTTTTGCGATTTCGCGGGTGCGCACAATTTTAAGGCTTGACATGTGTGGTTTCTATTTACCCGACGTGACCCCGTCTTTTATATTTTACCAAAAAATTGGGTAATAATAAATGTTTCATAGCAATGTAAAAAAAAATGTGTTATTTTTCTACATTTGATATTTTTTCCTTAATATAGTAAAAAACCCCAGTGGTGAATAAATACCACCAAAAGAAAGCTCTATCTGTCCCCAAACAAATGATATAAAATTCAGTACAGCGTTGCATGACGGAATAAATGTTAGTCAAAGAAGTACTACAGCGCTGAATACTGAAAAATGGCTGGGACAGGAAGGGGGTGTAAACACCGCGGTCTTCAAGTGGTTAAAGTTACTGAAAGGTCAGCCGTAAGAGACGGTGATATGATAATGGACGGCAGTATAAGAGTACACAGCGCAGGAAGATCAGCTAATTAAAGTATCTGAGAGCTAAGAAAACAAGTCCGGATCTGTAAGAGGTTCCATCCTCAACCCTGTGTTGTGTTTAATACAGAACGTAAACACTTAATTTCTCATCGGCTGTGCTGACGCCATAAACAAGAGAGTGTAAGAGTTCACAAAATTCAAAAGTAAATGTTTACAGCAAAAAGGGAAATATGGAAACAAGACCTCAAAATAGAACAGAGAACAGAGTCAGTCATGGCGGACCTCTTCCACGTCAACTCTCCTTCCCATACACCGCTTATGGGCCAGAGAACCCTTTACATTTCCACAATGGGCCCGTTTATGTCCCGATAACTTTGTCACTACTTAAAGGAGAATTATGAGGCGAGTGCTTTTCACTCACCTCATAGTTCTAGCCGACCTGTGATAATGAGACTGTCACAGGTCGGCTCAGTAGATCGGGAGGTGAGCGAACACATACCGGCGTTCGCTCACCTCTCGATCCTGTCACGGCTCTCTGCCGTGACAGGGGGAGGGGCTGGATTCCCCCCTCCCCGCTCCGATCCGCCAGCGCCGACTGGCGGAACGGACGGGGGATGGTACAGCTGGCTCTGCCTCTAGATAGGCAGAGCCAGCTGTCAGTCACGCAGCTGGGCGGATCCCGGCACAATTGTCGGGATCCGTTTCAGCTGCGGCGTCTCAGTATACTGCGAGCTACAGCTTGCGGTATACTGAGCTTAGGGTGACGGGAGGACGCTAGTTTGTGTCCTCCCGTTACCCTAAAGGAGAACTATGTGGAAAAGCCTTAACCCCATAGTTTATAGTTTAAGATACATTAATACATTCATTGGGGGGAATTTACAGAAGCAGACAACTAGCGTTTTTTGTAGCGCTTTTTTTGCAATAAAAAAAAAAAGCCCAAAACAAAATCCCATTCATTTCTAAGGCTATGTTCACATCTGCGCGTTTTGTTGTGCCAGTGGCATCACAAGGGGGTGCGGCCCGCACCCAGGTGCCACCATTGGAGGGGTGACACCAAAATGACGGAGTTATTTTGGTGTCCCCCCTATGAAAAGTCGGGCACTTGGTCATGGACCGAGAGCCCAACAGTGTCAGGAGAGAGGAGGGCCTTGTGTAAAAACGTCACCAGCACGACAGAGACTTGAATGTCAGTGCAAATCCATTTATTGATGTCAGTCGTTACTCAGAGTGTCATCAAGCGTTTTCGGGGCCACGCAGGGTCCCTTTCATCAGGCTCAGAGTAAAGGGTCCCCTTCAAGAGGCTCAGAGGAGGGCATACCTCATCCCGCCGGGTGAACATCCCCTCTCTCTGCCGGCGTCCATCACCAAGATGGCCCCCGACAGGCGTCAATAAGACGTCCGCGCATGCACGATGACGTCATCGCACGCACACGCGCGGGCAACATCACATTACAATTTACTGAAATGAAACCTATAAGAGTCTTCTGGTGAATGAGAGAGCTGTGGAGGCAGCTGCGGAGGATGAAACATAAACCAGAGATCACAATGTAAGAACAAAATCCCAAAAATGAATATGACAGGAAGTTAGCGCTTAGCATGCTGCCGTGTGGAGGAAAACACCTCATGTACAAGACGGCGTCACTGAGACGTGGGCGAGAAAAGTATCTGTGGAACTTTAGCCTTAAGAAACAAAAACATCAAAAAAAAAAAAAAGTTAAATGCCATCTTTTCTAAAACTGGTATCTCAGTTTTAAGTGGTTACCGGTAAAGTTGACTCACATCATGGCATGTTTGGTACACTATCACTGGGGAAGTTATGCCCCCCCCCAAATTCCCAGTTGAGCCCAACCACCGTAACCACTGCTGAGCCACATGATGATGTCACACTCCATTTATGCATTCTCCAAAAAGTACAAAAAAAACAACAACTGGGGAGTACAGGTGTGACACCTTTTTCATGGTCTTGTGAGAGGGGCAGAGATGCAAACAATAGCTGGGACAGTAGGGAGTAGGACTGGAGTGTCAAAGGCCCACTTATACATACTGTATACATGTGAACACAAGGTTTTTATGTGGGTAAGAGCGCCAACATTTTCTGAATGAAAAAGGTCTGCATGAGCTAACTGCCTTTCAGCCCTGGCCTTCCTGTACTAGTGACCGCTATTTCAGTAGCGGCTCATCAGTGATCATAGTCCACCCACCTGCACTCTCACTTGTGTGTGAGGAGGTGTAAAGGTTGCTGCTGTATTGGTAGGTAAGTGAGTGGGCTTCTGATTGATTGTACCCATGCAACAATGCCTCCCTTAATGATAATCAACACTGTTATTAATCCACATGCCCACCTTGATCTGTCCCTCAAACATGGCAATATCAAAAGCTCTGCTGGGAAATGTATTTGCAATATGGTTTGCTACATCCCTGTGTTGTGGTGTCAGACGCCTGAGTAATGCATTATGGGACTCCAAGGTCCTCCTGAGATTTATTAGAATATGTGGGAACTTGCTGGCATTTGTCCGGAGATGCTGGCTTTTTGCTCAATTTGCCACCCCCCTTTCGCCCAACTCTACCCCATTTTTGCACCCTGTGAAGCAAATTATAC